TTTTTTTCCTTCGAAAACCAAAAGAATATGAAAATACCACCACAAGTAAGAGCAATAAATTCAAATAAGGATGCCTTTCAAATCATCTGTGATTAACAAATCACTAAAGATACAAAAAAAAAATTATGCTTAGATGGGAACACTTAGAAATAAGCTGGGTGGGAGATTGGGACAATAAGCAAACAAGAGCTACATCTCAGGGCTCAGTTACCATGTGAAATATTAAAGTTCATGATAGCACAGTTAGAAAAGGACTGACTTGTTTGGCAGGCTTGCAAAGAGAAAGCCTGTTCTCTCTAAGAAGACCATGGCAACAGATTTAGAAAAACTGCATCTGAACAAACCACAAGATGTCTGGAGCAATGTCCCTTGCACAGGCAGGGCCAAAGTAGAGATGCTTGGTGTAAACAAATGCAGCATAGCAGGACAAACCTGGAATAGTTCTTTCATAGCTGAGCACTCAAAGAGCTTTATACAGCATTCCCCATTCACCTATTCTCAAAGAAGCACCTTTTCTGTTTAGGTTACTCTCTAACATTCACCCTCCAACAGTTGCATAGGAGAGCAACTTCAGGATAACATCTTGCCCAAGCAGCCAGGGGCTGAATCACCAACCTTCTGATTAGTAGATCTCATCTGCTACGCCTTCTGAGCTACAGCCATGTGTAAGTTCACCACTGAAATGTTAAACTTGTATGAAAAACTGCAGACCCCTCGTTCCCCTCCTCGGGCTATTTTTAGGTCCTAAGGAAGGTCTAAAGTTAAGAACTGGATAAAGACATTGACCTCTTTAAAAAACATGGAGTTTCCTGAAACAACTTTAAAGCAAGTCTGTTTCAGGCAGTGTTTTACATCAGATAGAAAATGCAAGTTTCACTGAAATACATGAAAGTAGGGAGCACCTGTAACGTGTTGTGGCAGTGACCTGCATGCTGGGGAGGTAAGCTAGATTATTTCGAGACCATGAAGAAATGGTAGAAAGCCACAACAAAGGCAGTTTCCTATGGTGCATGATATTTTTTAAAGCAGTTCTTACAGTGTTTTACACCTCCATCAAACCACACGCACACCACATTTGTCAGTTAGAAGAAGATTATGCTTTCCAGGCTCTCCTGTCTGTAACAGCATGTTTACACAGATACCAACAGATGGATTTGTTTTGGAATTGACTTGTGGAGGACATACGTTGGTCAGCTGTTCTTCCGAGTTAGAGGATCTTAAAAGGAAATTTGTATTTCCTTTCTGGAATGAGTGATCACTGAACTTGAGCAATGATTCTCTGGTAAGAATGAGGAACTGGTTAATTTAGTCATGCAGTCCAAC